TGACGCTCTCTCCAAATTCCACTCCTCGTGCCTTACACCGGGTAGACAATCAGCTGATAGCTAGAGCACGGTGGAGTGCCTTGTGGTCCCTTCAATTGCCTTCTAAAATTAAACATTTTCTTTGGAAATGTTGCTATGGGATTCTCCCTACTGGTGCTGCTCTTGTTAGTCGTGGTTATTTGGTAAATCCGATTTGTCCTCGATGTGGGTTGGAGGTGGAGGATGTGCTTCATATTTTTTTCCGTTGTTATTTTTCTCTTCAGGTGTGGAAATTATCCCCCCTCCGTTGGGATTTTCGAGTTCGTCCTCTTTCTTATTTTCTTGAATGGTGGATTGATATTCAGGGTGGATCATTTTTGTCTAAGGAGGATAAATCTTTTACGTTGGGCATATCATCTTTTTGTTTATTGGCAATCTGAAAGGTTAGGAATAAATTAATTTTTGATCAACTTGATTGGAGTCCGGTTTTGGTGGCAAATTGGGCTTCCACTCGCTTTTGGGAATTTGTCTCGGTGCAACGGAAATGTCAGCTGAATCATCAGCCCCCTCGCGTTGGATTCGCCCAATGCATGGTGTTGTTAAATGTAATGTTGATGAATCGTTTTTGAATCTTGCTCAACGAGGCGGCCGTGGTGCGGTGTTCAGAGACTCTTCTTGTGTGGTTCTTCAAGCGGTCATTTTTAAACCTTTTGAGTCATCCTCTGTGTTTCATTCAGAAGTGTTGTGTTTTAGACGTGCAGTTTTTTGGGCGCAACAATTTCATTTTCAGGTGGTCTGGTTTGAATTGGATTGTAAGAGCGTGGTGGAGGCTATTGAGGGTATTGCTCATCTGGATGCTTCACTTGTTTCTTTGGTTACTGAGATTAGACGGGAGATGCAATCTCTTACGGGGTTTTCTATTTCGCATGTTCGAAGGGAAGGCAACAAAGTGGCGCATGCTCTTGCCAAGCTTTCACAGCGGGAGTTGACTATGGATACGGTGCTTCACTCTCTATCCTTGTCTGTCTTTTAACTTTTGGAGTTGGATGTTGTAATTAGTGAGTGTAATTATTGTGTGCTTGTGGGTTGGTGTTGCTGGGACGAGAAAAAAAACAGAAAGAAAAAAAGAAAAAACAGAAACATATGAACCAACAACATGAACAGGGACATAAATATACTAAATAGTTTTGTATTTGAATAAACTAGCTTGCTCAGATGCATTTCAACAGGGACATAATAGTGCTGTGCTGTACATGTTGCCATCCCTAGCTAGCTACTATCTGTCTCGCATCTTCTGCATACATAGATGGTGGTTTGATCTACATGTCACATATATTATTATATTTCAAAAAAATTTCTTCAAGCAACGGGTTTCATGCGTTGACTGCATTCGGCTAATGGCTATATATATATTATATTATATAAATAGTGTCACTTTCTCTCGAAGTACAATTCTCATATCATTGCAGGGGCTTTGTCAAAAATTTCTGCTAATTATTTATAATAGATCAGCAACAACTCATCCCATTGTAATTCTTTATTGTTTTGGTAATTATTTATATTTATATTATGATAATCAACAACTCACCCTCCTTCCTTGCTTCTCTTTTCTCCTTTCTCTTTTCTGCAATTAAGAATTTGTTTGATTTATAACTATAAAAATAATTTGTTGTTGTTAAAAAACTAAAAATAAAAAATTATACAAAAAATTATATTTAGTTCAATTTTTGAAAACTCAGCTATAAAAATATTTATTTTCAAGTAACATTTATAGTTCTTTTAAAACTATTCTCTATTTTTTAAATTTCTGATAATTATTTTTAAAGTTCCAAACCAAATATGCTCTAATTTTCTTTAATTTCACACTGTCCTTTCCCCTTCCCTTAGAAACTTTTTTTTTTAGTTAAAACCCTTAGAAACTTCTATAAGCATTCTTAATTAATTATCTTTATATTGTTCAAGTCAATAATGCTCAAAGAATATAATTTATCTCTCTCAATTTCCTTACAAACTCAATTAATTTAAGTTTTATTATTTATATTTTAATGTTTTATGTTGTTCACCTATTATAATTTAAAATTTTGTTTAATTGCTTAAAATATGAATTATAATAACTTTTTAAAGTTAGTATTTATATCTAAAAATTATTTAAATGAAAAATTATAAATCTTTAAATTTTAAACTTTACTCTTAAAATATTATTTTTTACTAATGAATGTAGGACAACATATTTGATTTCATAAATATTTAAAATTTTAATTATTCAAAACAAGTTTTTAATAATTATTTGTAAAAGGGATTTGTTTTTGTAATGGTTCTATATAAAAATATGTAATTAAGATTATAAATTAATTTTTGAATTTTGACCTCGTGAATTACACGTGTTTTTTTACTAGTATTAAAAAAGAATAATTACATATACATGGATTTTTGAATTTTTATTTACTATTTCATGAAATTAAAGTCATTTAATTTCAAGATAACGAATTTGACCAAAATGTCAAGCGAACATGAAAAAATATCAGATATGAACATTCATATCTGATTTTAAACTAAACTAGGGTCACTTTCTAGAACAATAAAGAGGATAGTCTGGGCATTAGCAGGAGAATAGTTTAGGCATCAGCTTAAAATAAAGAATGTTATTTAATATTCACATCTGTATTTTTATTAAATCTATTATTTCAAAATTACACAACTGATTAATAAAGATACAAAAATTCATATACAAGTAACTCTATCTTTATTTAAAAAGCGCCACGTTCTCTCCCATCACAATTCTTTATAATATATTGTAGGTTCTCTATCTTTGTCAAATTATTTAAAAAGCGTCACGTTCTCTACCTTTGTCAAAATTAAGATGCTGGCTTTATAAAAATTCTTCATTCATCTCATAATTATTTATGATCTGAACCACAATTAGTCACCCCGGCCTCGTTGCAATTCACTTACCCACAATATTCGGAAGTCTCTCTTTTATGTATATAATTCTTTATGGTACTGTCAGTGGCTTCATCGTATCAAAGATTCTTAAGCAATCAAAATTCTTTATTATATATATATATATATATATATATATATATATATATATATATATTCTGATCAACAACTCACCCGGCCTCATCCTTGCCTCAATTCTCCACACTAATTTTCCTTTCACACTGTCGTTTCCCACTCTCCCGGAAGAGAATTAAAAAAAGTTCGGGAAACCCAATTACTGGTTACACCTAATTCTAGTAGTAGTTGTCGTTTCACATCTAGATTGGAGACGTGACAACAATTACAATCTATTATATAATTTTCAATTTTCAATTTTCAAGTGTCACCAATTAAGATTCCAAGACGATACAATGCTTTTCTTTATGATGTTCCATCGCTGCTCTCTAGAAAAATTTCACAAAATTGGCTCTTAAAAAAATTCATAGTTTTAATGCAAAAAACCGTAAAACTCCAAGTGAAAAAACATATATTTAGACTTTTGAAAATCTAATTATACTTTTAAAATAAGTCAATTTCATGCATAATTAATATAACAATAGTCTATCCTGAAAACAAATGTCTATCTGTTGAGTGCAATTAACCAGTGCCATACGGTGGAACCGGTTTCACTTTGCCAGTATAGATTTTGTTTTAAAGACTTTTAGAAACTTCAATGTGCAACCCGTACCAGCCCCATGTGGAACCGGTTCCACTTAGACAGTTTGAAAAATATGAAGTGATACTTAATTTTTTTTTCCAAAACACCTAAACCCAAAACCATACATGTGTACACACTCACTTACCTTACTGATGCATTGTTCATATCATAACAGAGTGTACTAACATGCGGACACCATCAATCTTCAATTTCGCTTCCGATCTTGAGATTTGAAAATCGAACTGAGAGTTTACAATTCAATCAGACTTATTTTGACAACTATATTTGCGAAATTATAAAATTATATTTCACACGAGTTTCATACGTTGAATTAATGCATTAGATCAGATATCTATATATATAGTTATATATATAAATAAATGTTGTGTTCACGAAATTAAGTCTCTCCCGGCCATCACAATTCTTTATATATAGTATTATTGTAGCCTGCAGGTGGGCTACATCAATGTGAAAGATGCTTAGTCACAACTAGCTGTTTGTTTATAATATGATCAACTACATAACTCACACCATGTTGTTTCTCTTCGATCTCCAGTCTCACAGTTTTCGGAAGTCTTCTTTTCCCATTACAATTCTTAATTTAGTCCGTCATCCAAGATGCATATACATTATTATTTAGTTTTTTTGCTAACTATATATATTCTTTATCAACAACTCACCCCTCGAAAAAAAGAAAAAGAATCCATCCTCCAACGCTGTTCTCCCGACCTGTTCAACATGCGTTGAATTACTGCTTTAGATCGGATACATACATACATATATATATACATACATACATACATATATATATATATATATATATATATAAATGTTATGTTCATGAAATTAAGTCTCTGATCTCTCCCGGCCATTACAATTCTTTATAGTATTATTGTAGCCTGTGTAGGTGGCTTCATCAATGTCAAAGATGCTTAGTCACTACTATCTGTTTGTTTATAATTATAATATGATCAACTACATAACTCCCACATGCTGCTTCTCTTCGATTTCCACAGTCCACAGTTTTCGGAAGTCTCCTTTTCCCAGTACAATTCTTAATTTATTCCGTCATACAAGATGCATATACACAATTATTTAGTTGTTTTGGTAACTATATATATTCTTATTAACAACTCACCCCTCGAACCATTCACACACTAAAAAAAAAAAACTCACCCCTCGTACTTAGCTTCTCTTCCATCTCCACATTTTCCTATCACATTCCATACCTCTCTCCTGATCTGCAGCTGGAAATAAAGTGGGGGCCGTTTTCCAAAACACAAACTGGTTGCACCACCATCTTCATTCTGCACTGTATTTATCTATATATCTATATATTTTGTAAAAAGTAGTGCAGAAAATTCTTTTGCTTTTTTTACTGACAATGTCAACTATTAGTGGTTGTTCAACAGTATCACAGGCACAAAACTATTGTTTGAGGATTGATATGCCAATCGTAATGGATATCAACAAGGTGGCTCAAGCAGAGGATGGAATTCACATAATGAATTCTCAACTTTATGGAGCCGTAACAAGTGGGGATCCTGTTAGGTGGAGATCGGAACTAGAATCAAACAATTTGGAGCAACTGAGCCCTCAAGGGAACACGGTTCTTCACCTTGCCATCAGTTTAGGCCATCACCAGCTTGTGGAATCCATCCTCCAACGCTGCTCTCCCAACCTGTTCAGCACTAAAAACTCCGCCGGGAAACTTGCTCTCCATTTGGCTGCTGCTTCTGGGAATCTATCCACACTTGAGTCTCTGCTTCGTCATGCCGCCAAACTGCAGCTTGAGGGCTACAACACTACTACTTGTGTAAATGGGGACCAATATTTTAATCAGTACCTACAAGCAGTACTCATGGAAAAAGATTCCGAAATGAATACTGCACTGCATGTGGCCATGAAATATCAACACTACAAATTGGCTATATTGTTAGTTGAAAAGAACCCACAAGTGTCCACATGTCCAAATAAAGAAAAAATGTCCCCCCTGTATATGGCTGCCGAAGCAGGACAACTGAAGCTTGTTGAGCTGATGATGCAAAATGGAGCAGTTGACATAAGAGCCCTGCAAGGCAAGTCAGTTGTGCACGCTGCCATCAAAGCAAGAAACAAAGGTATATATGGCCGGTTAGCCAATACTATTTTCGATTCTAACATATATATACCTTCTTCTTTTTTCTTTTTTCAAACCACTAAGAGTTGTAATTCACTTATATTTTTTCAACTTCTCAAAATAAATAATTTGAGAGTTGCAACTCTTATTATAAGAAGAAAAGAAAAGAAAAAAATGTTTACTCCACAGACTTAGTTGACCAACTCAAGTATAATTGTAGCATAATCAAAGCTAATTTATTATTATTTATTTTTTCTGGTTAACTTCGGTTTAGTTTTGAAGCTTAGAGATAGGGTTGAAATTTCATTTAATGATAAAGTTAAAGGATTCTATATACTTCAAATGAAACTTGGGTTGGTCTGTTAATTAGAGAAATAATTGCAATAATTTACTTTATACTAGCTATCAAAAAGTGTTCTCATTTGATGTCCTAAAATTATATGATTTTTTAATTTATTTTATTAATTATTCCGTTCTACTAAAAATATATTTACCAAAATACCAGATGTCCTAAAGGCTGTGTTGAAGCACGAATCAACATACTTTTCTGCATATGATGAAGATGGGAGGACTCCTCTTTCCTTTGCATCATCAATAGGTTACTTTAAAGGGGTTCGCTGCTTTCTAAAGAAATGGCGTGAAGCTATATACATAAGAGATGCGGATGGGTCATTACCCATTCATTTGGCATCGATGAGGGGGCATGTCAAGATTATAAAAAAGTTCCTCAAGTATAGCCCCGATTCAAGGGAGTTGGTCAACAAAGATGGTCAGAACATTCTTCATGTGGCTGCTATGAACGGGAAAGCCAATGTAGTCTCTTATGTCCTTAAAAAGCACGAGCTTGCAATGCTCATCAATCAAAGAGATGAAAAAGACGGAAACACTCCATTGCATTTGGCCAGCAAAGGAGAGCATGCTCGGATTGTGCATATTCTGACGTGGGACAAGAGAGTTAACTTAGAGATCACAAATGATATTGGCTTAACGGCTCTTGATGTTGCAACAGATGATCCTCGGGATACCACATTTCAAAAGGTAAATTACTAATTCTTTATAATTATTAATGATATATAGAAGCTAATGTAAATATTATAATTGAATAATTTACTAGATAATGTCATCATTTTCACTTAATTTGTCCGGTTGATATATAATATTATAAACTGAATTAAACTAACCAAACATTATTGCTTGCATATTTGCATGGTGGCAGTAAACTGTATGTACAGGTTAATTTGTGTGTGTGTGAGAGAGAGAGCAGATCTGGAATATTTCTCTTTCATTACTAATTGTTGTTACATATATGTGTATATATAATATGTGATGATATATATGTTTTGCATTCAGCGGTTGACATGGCTATCCTTGAGATATGCTGGTGCACCACAAACAGAGGCGCAGAAGACAAGAAGAAGTACAGCAGATCATGAGTTTGATAATATCAATGCTGGTGAGAGTCCTAGGGTAAACACTCTTTTGTTGGTGGCGACGCTAGTAGCCACCGTGACCTTTGCAGCTGGTTTTACCGTGCCAGGTGGGAATTACGGTACTGATGATCCATACCAAGCTGGCATGGCAACTCTGGTGAAAAGGCACATGTTTCATTTTTTCCTGATAACAAACACAATATCTTTGTATAGTTCGGTCATCGTAGCCATTTGTCTCATTTGGGCAATGTTGAATAATATACATTTGAGCCTTTATTCACTAAAATGGGCAATTCCGTTGGGGCTGGGAATCTCTCTTTTAATGGTCTCCTTGGCATTCATGGCAGCTGTATTTCTGGTGGTGAGGAATATTACTTGGCTTGCCGCTCTTGTTCTTATAATAGGTTCAATCTCAACCCTCAGCCTTTGGTTAGTATTTGTTCCGCTTTCCTTTCCCAATTCCTTGAAGAATCGTGTCGCTCGAAACATCTTTCGCTATCCACTTTATCTTATGGCATTAGTAACCGAAGAATAGAAAAAATTTGATGGCAGACCATGCACAACAATTACTCTACTATATATTTCCAAACTATTGGATTGTTGGCTGGCCAATTGCACGTGTACGTTCGTTCTAATGCCTTCAATTTTCCTCTTCCAAATGATCGATCAAGTTGTTTGCTGGTTAGGACTTGTCCTCTTGTTGAGGGACTGACGGCGGCTACATTGGTCTAGACCTTCACTGAGTACTCTGCTTTTTCTAGCTGGTGTGGTGAGGAGACTAGATATATATATATATATATATATACATATTGGAATTCTGTTTCTTCCAATGACTTGTTGTTGGGCCTTTTGTTTGTCCGTTTCCTTCGTGCGTTCTGAGCTAGCTAGCTCGTTTAGTAGTAATATTTTGTTTGGAGTTGTTGCCATTTTGAGTTTTGTTGGTCTTGCTTTCCTTGTACACTCTTTTATTCTTCTAATAAATTTCCAATTACTAAATATATATATCTATATACACATATATATTTGTGCATAGATACGATTTGGAAATGAATTTGAATTGCTCGTTCCCACGACCATCTTACGGTAAGATAGTGAAGAGGGACTACTATTTTAGCCTTTATTGCTGAAATGTTATTCGATTCAATATATAAATGTATTCATCCAACTCTTATGTATTTATATTTTGGACACTTCAAATGCAATAAAAACCTAAATGAAAAAAAAAAATGTCATTTAATACAACACTTAAACTTTCAAAAATATTAAAGAAGAAATTTTCAATTTATTATAATAATACTCAAATTAAGTAGCAATTTCACAATAACTGGGTGAGATACTAACTAATACGTAACACAAGCTAAATCCCTTCCTTTTAGTTGTTTAATTAAAATAAAATAATGTTACATAGATGGTGTTACTCACATCGGTTAGCATCGGCCCACGAGAAACAAGGTAGGCTAGGGCCTCACAAAACTTTGGGTACACATGCCCCTTGTTTCTTTTTAACCCAAGCCCAACTAGCTTGGCTATTTGTATTTGATAATTTATCAATGTTCTCTTTCACAAATAAATGAAAGTTGGGGAAAGCCAACTCAACCTGAAAATCATTTTTGGTTAGATATTAAAGCCTATAGACAAAACCCAGAAAATCATTATTGATAGATGTCATTCCAATTAATCATGTCGGCATCACTACAACACAAGGCATTTATAAATAAAAACTAAACAACAGAAAGAGTAAAAGGGATTAGAACAATCCCATTTCCGAACACACGTACACAAACCACACACACACAAACTGCCAATGCAAATACTCTTAACGAACAAGGACACCAATCCAACCTTCCAAGACTAAAAAGCACAGCAACAGGGCCACCCAACAGATGAGTTCTTAGGTCATACAACCAAAGTTTGCATTGAGGGCATGCATCTGATTATTTCTTGGTATTGATTCTTTCAATTACTAAAATCAAAAGATAAAAGGGATAGCGGATGATGTAGCGAGGGATGCGATGGTTCAAGGAATAAGGGAAGGCGAGTGGAACAATTAGTACCAAAAGGGTAAGGAGAGAGAGTGAGCCTATTATTAGAACAAGAATGGAAAGCCAAGTAAGGTTGCTCACTACCAGACAAATAGCTGCCATAAAAGCCAAGGAGACTAGCGAAAGAGATAGTCCCAACAATGGCACTGCTAATTTGAGGCAAGCAAGACCCAATCTTATATCATTCAACATTGCCCATAACAGAAGAATGGCAACAATGATGGAACTATACATAGCTATGGTATTACTTATGAGGAAGACGTGGAACATAGGCTTTTTAACCAGAATTGCCATGCCTTGGCGCGAATCTTGATCAGAACTGTTATATCCTCCAGGCATTGTGAAACCGGCCGCAAAGGTCACGGTGACCACCAGTGTCGCCACCAACAACAGTGTGTTCACCCTGTCTTTATAACTTTCCATGTTTGGTGGCGCATGACGCTGCCTGATCGTCACTGTACTACCATGCTGCTTAGCTCGTGGTGCGCCAGCATATCTCAAGGCTAACCACGTCAGCCGCTGAAAGTCATATGTGATCATATAAACAATATAATTGATTAATGAGATAAATCTATATATATATTAATTAGCAATTTACTTCCATATATTAATCAAGAACGAGTATACATCTCTGATTGTGAAAGGATTTGTAGTTGGAGAAATTAAAACATATGCATGTACCTTTTGATATGAGGGTGTTGTCTCAGGGTGATTCTCTGCAACATCCAAAGCCGTCAGGCCTTGAGCATTTACAAGCTCCAAGTTTACTCTCTTGTCCCATGTCATGATACTAACAACCCGAGCATGCCCATTCCTAGTGGCCAAATGCAGTGGGGTGTCTCCATTTTTATCTCTCTCATTAATTAGCATGGTAAGCTCGGATGTCTCAAGAATGTATCTTACAACATTCGATTTCCCACTCTCAGCAGCCACATGAAGAATATTTTTACCTTTTCTGTCCAGCAATTCCCTTGAGTCAGGGCAGCGTCGGATAAACTCCTCTATAATCTTGACATAGCCTCCCATGGATGCCCTATGAATGGGATATGAGCCATCCATGTCTGTTGTGTATGATGCATCAGAAGTTTTGTGTAAGAAGTAGCAAACACCTTCAAGGTAACCAATGGAGGATGCAAAGGAAAGAGGAGTTCTCAATTCTTCATCAAGTAGAACGATACAAAATGAAGTCTTCACTCCATCATCGAATGAAATACAGTAAGAAGCCCTTCGATTCATGAACCTAACCGTGTAAGTTGCTTGGTGATTCATTATCATATCTAAGACATTTGTTGGCAAGTTAGATGATTGGTACTTCATTATGGCATCTAAGACATCTGGTATTTATGATAAAAGAGTTAATATTTCACACCACAGAAAAATTAAGGACGGGAACAGAGGAATAACAAGAAACTATGTCGAGGGTGCACAGACAGTAGTAACTAACAACATTCTTAGTATCTTTTATTTATAAATTAAAACAAAAGTGTCCTGATCAATAGTATTATTTCATCAAATAAATAAAATAAAAATTTGACTAATCACCTTTTAATTAATTCGTGCGATCATATGATTAATAATATTCCTAACTTTTTTGTTTTCCAAAATCATTAGTAAGTTATTTATTTGTGAATATATATATTATTAATAATTTGAAGCTCAATCTTTTGTTAACATATTACTTTACTTGTGAATATTACTACTGATCTAGTGCGTGAATTGAGGGCTAGCAATTAATATTCTTGAAATGATGTTGATGTATATTAATTAAAATATTGTTGAAAAAATTAAAGCAGATGAAATATAGAGAGGCAGAGTAAGTGTAGGTTAAAAGTTTTAATTACGTACCTTTGTTCCTTGCTTTAATGGCAGCATGAACAAGTGACTTGCCTTTGAAGACTCCCATATCATGAGCTGGTCTACTGTTGAGCATAAGGTTCACAAGCTCCACATGGCCTGCTTCAGCGGCCATATACAAGGGAGAAACTTCTTCCCGGTTTAGTTGTATGGTGGCTTCTGAATTCATCTGAACTAAGGAAATAGCCAACCTGTAGTGATGATTTTTCATGGCAAGATGCAATGCAGTATTTTTCTCCTCATTTTCTTGGACAAGTATATCCAGCACCTGCGAAGGAGCGGGATGCACTTTTGCGTGACGAACCAGAGTCTCGACAATAGCCTGATGGCCAGCAGCAGCAGCCAAATGGAGAGGAAGGTCGCCAGAGGGGTTTTTGTTGAAGATGAGGTTTGGACAGCGGCGGAGTATGAGTTCCACGAGGCTGGAATGGCCTAAACTGGCTGCTACATGGAGACTTGTGTTCCCACGGCCACTCATCATCATTAATTTATTGTATGTTGCATCTTCTTCTTCAACTTGGAATCCATCCGTATTTCCCATTGTGATGGCTCTATACATTTCGGGTTTCATGTGTTTGAATTGTGGTGTTGGAACAAAGATTATTTCATAATCTTCACTTTGGATACAGAAAACCCCACCCTCTTCTTCAGAGCTGGGTTCTGCTGATTCAACAGGAGGAATTGGCAGTCCCCTGTCTTCATGAAATTCAGTAAAAAGGGTCCGTGGACCTACTGGTGCCCGTGCATCGTCCCTCTCACCTGCATTAATATCGGCCATTATAAATTCCTTCGATCAAATTTTAGGTACACACCTTATTTATATACAATAGGAACCCTGTACGTGAAACATCAGCTTAATTTGCAAGTAAAAGTATTCCTCCGGGCCACGGTGAACATTACCCTTCTTTATTTATTTATTTTTTTTTAAAAGCTGGGCGAGCAAGTAAATTATATATTCCTCACTGATTAATAATCAATGGTTGTGAGAGTAATACGTAATACATGGCATTACGACCCAACCCCACCAACAGCCACCAGCGCTCTGCCCCTCTGGATTTTTTTACTTTTATTTTAGATTTTATTTTTTTTAGAATTTATGAAGATGCTTTCACTAACATTACAAATCGCCACCACTTAATTTTTTTTTTTTTACATTTTATACTTTAAAATTTTGAGAATTTATGAACACGCTCTCACTAAAATTACAATTTTCCCTATTGAATTATATTTTTTACATTTTATATTTTAAATTTTTAACAAATTTATGAAAAAAACTTCATTGAAATTACAAAAATAGACCCATCATATAAGTTTATCCCAGAAATTAAAAGGTTGTCCATCTCACAAACTTTTTTTTGGTCTGTCACTGACTGCCGCCATCCCCACGCACAACCACCTTCACTGTCATCCCATAGCCTACAACCACCGCCCCCATCCCATAGCCGACAACCACCGCCCCCATTCCATAGCCGACGGTGATTGATTTGGAGGAGAGAAAACGTTGAGAAAGAGAGAGATCGGGTAATTTGGAGTATTAATTGGGGAGCTTTTGCTATAAATAAAATTACATTACTACCCATATATTTTTTTTATGATGTGGCATATTCTGTTGTGACTATTCTTTTTCAAAAAAAAAACTAGGGACTAGCTTATCATCCCCCTAATGGGATGTTAGCTTTAGGAATAGAGGAATTTGGTCCTTTAATTATTTTGATATTTAATTAAAATTAAAATTAAAATTAATTAAATAATGAAGGATAAAGATTTTCACATGTTTTTGGGTTTTGTTAAAAAATAGGTTAACTTGTATATGGTTCTCCTTATATCAAATCTCGGGAGTTGTCAGTGTACTCTATCCTATATAATTTGAGGGTTTGGAGGAAAAATATAAAAATAACTTTTGTAATATATTAATATTAAGTAACATTTAGCAATATTATTTTAATAATCTTTTCTTTTCTTTTTTTTTTTTTTCTTTTCTTTTTTTTTACAGTATTATTTTGACATACAAAGTTACTAACAATGTAAAGCAATAATATTTTTAGATGTGTTCCTATTAAGCAACTATTTATGGACATTAATTAAATATATATTATATTATACACGAGGGACTTAACCTTGATGCCATCCAACTTTAATTTCTTCTTCTGAGATGCCATCCAACTTTAACCACTTGCAGCAAGGCTTGCTTGCTTGCTTGCAAATTTAAGTATCCTAACCTTGATGCCACGCGTGCGGTACGTGCGTGAATACTAGGAATATATTCTCTTTACTTGCTTGATTGCTTGCAAAGTAAAGTAAATATATTCTCTTTGCTATTAAAAAAAGAAAGGGGGTAAATATTCCTCTCTAACATTAACGCTAGCTTGTCCCTCCTCCCATAGTACTACTTCAACTAAAGAGTACTAAGGAAAAAAACTAAAGAGAATTCCCCCAATACGCCCACAAGAACTTCCTCCCTCCAATAGGCGGGCCCAACATATATATATATATATATATATATATATATATATATATATATGCCTCCTCAGTTAGCCAATTGGATTAAGTGCAAAAAAAATCCCTCTACTCCTCAGCTAACCAATTGGGTTAAGTACAAAAAAATCCCTCTACTATTAATATAGTGCAAAATAATTCAAATTCGAATTTGAGTAGAAAATTATGTGTAATGTAAAACACTCCTATACTATTGATTTGGTACAAATAGCCTCCTGGAGACTTAAAATGACAATAATATCCTCATTTCAACAGAATAAATTAATAAATATAAATACAGGCCATGCAAAATGATTATTTTTTCCAATATGGATAGGGAAATGACTTTTAATGTGAAAAGTCAATTATGCCCTTTATATTATAATAATATCAAGGGTAAAGTGCAAAAAACCCCCTTGAACTATGAGCGTTTTGCAAATAACCCCCTGAACTACAAAAAACCCCCTTGAACTATCAATTTGTTGCAATTGAGGACAATCCGGCAATTGGGTTGATCGAAAAAATCAAAAGACAATTGTACCCTTCACTAAAACTACGTTGTTTTGGTATTTATCCACTTACTTGTATAATATGGCAACTGTAATCTCAATGACCAATTACAACTTGACACCTCAGATTCATTAAACATTAATCCGGTCAAAACCCGATCTCCCATTCTCTCTCTACAAACATCGCTTCTTCCATATTATCTCCCTACAAACATAATCTAAACAAAACCCAATCTTTCTGATCAAAACCCAATCTTTCCCATATGTATGTGTATATACATATATATATATATATACACATATATATATTAGTAATATCTACAAACATCGCTTCTTCCATATTATCTCTCTACAAACATAATCTAAACAAAACCCAATCTTTCCCATATGTATGTGTGTGTATATAGACACTAACAAACCAAACAAAATGTAACATGAATTGAAGAAAGCAAAAAGAAATGAATTCCAATCCCGGTAGTCGAGCTTTTAAGGGTCTCTGTTCTTAGCCCGCGGTTGACGACGTTCGGTTGGTGTGAGACATCAGATCATTTTCTGGCCCTTTATAGGGATAGGGATGAAGTAGTCTCAAGCGGATATTCTTTTAGGTCTCATCCAGCTTCCTCTTGCCTTTTTTAGGAAGTGGATGAAGGGGTGGGGTTTGATGTGCCTTATTTTATGTGATACCCTCGGATTTTCGGATGCGGGTTGGCTAGGCCCATGCCCGAATACCCGAGGATATAAAAAACAAATCGGCAATTAACGAACATAGAGTACAAAAGAATAAATAGGAATAAATAATTTGCTGAAGGTTAACTAAAAGAATAATCCAATAATAAAACCTCTTAATAAATTCCATTAAAATAATAAACTATTTTGGTACAAACTAATCCTCCAAATAATATAATTCGGGAATCCATACTGTGTGGACTCTTAGAAAATCCAAACCGTAAAAGTGACAGCAACAACTGTCTACAACTGAATAATGAAATATAAAGAAACTCCTATGTAGATAATCCGGAATAATGAAGTAAACGAGCCCTGCTTAGCACGAACAATCCCTACTCCTGACGAACACCTGAAAAATAATTGTGCGTCAGGTTCACAAACAAGTTCTACTCTACTACAGTCCAAGCAGAGACTCGATACGCAGATACATCCTAGACAACTCAACAATAGCTAAATAGTCCATATATGTATAAATACACACTATAGGACGCTCACTAGTCCATAAGTCTGTCTCAACCTGAATAGAAGATAACATGCAAATCGCACATAAAGTGAGAATGTATACCTAGACCTACCGAGGTACACAATATCTACTATGTCCAGTTATCCATCCTATGCGATATACGCACCCTAACCATGATCCTGAGACTCAAGCTCATATCATCACTCATAACTATATATCAAGCTCATATATGTGTGTGTGTGTGTGTGTGTGTGTGTGTGTGTGTGTGTGTATAATCCATCATAATACAGAACATAAAATAAACATCCAATATGTCATTCAACTGTTTTAGTTGACATGACATGAATCCATGTAGGATTTAACTTTTTAGTTAATCCATTCCGTTATGTATGAATAGGTAGGCATTAGCGTTTTGATCTAATCCATCCCTAATACCGGTGCATATCATCCACAAATCCAATAATTGATGCAATAAATGATAAATTTAAACATCAATTAAAATCCAGAGCATGATGTAATGATAATCAGAAATATAAACTGAGCACATTATACTGAAATACTCAAAAGAAATTTCATAATAATCCATTTAATTTGCTAGAATAACAACAAGCAATTAAACTTTCCTTAATCCTTGACAGCATGCAAATCCGTAATAAAATTTCATGATGTCCAATAACTTAGCTTAATAGCCTAGATTAACCATTTTGGGATTTTAACATAATTATTTGAATCATTTAAAACCCCCCTATTTAAGTCCAAAAACCCATTTTTACCCCCTCAAGTTCCAAAAACCCAAAAATACACCCGTAGGTGTGTTTACAGCAGTAAAGCCGCCTTTCCCAAAGAGGGAGCCGGCTCCCCCCCTTGTGGAGCCGGATCTCCCCCTTGGAGAGCCCGCTCTACACCTTGTGGAGCCAGTTCTCCCCTTTGGAGAGCCGGTTTTCTTTCTCCTAGAGCCGACTCCCTCATTTGGAAAGCCGGCTCTCTCTCCCTGAGAGCAGTATACTAATTCCCGATCATCCTCTTCGCCTCCAGAGATGCTGCAGAACCCTCTGTAATGTTTAGTAAGGTTCCTAGGGTTCAATTTATGTCCCAAAATTATCCAGAAAACATATAAACAAAGTATGCATTACTAACAGAAATTTAAAACATATATGCTGAAACAAATGACACGATGAATCAAATTTAATTTGTAACACATAATCAGTTTAAACTCTTAATTAATATGCATACAAGATCAGTTTTAAAATTCGATTACATCCTGGAGATTATTTAGGCATGCACAGAACACAAGTCTAAGGGAAATAGTTAAAGATAGAACTTGCCTCTAGGTTTCGAATTGAAACCTTAATTCCTTCTTCCAAATTTTTTCGGCGATTGTGACTACCGTCAAGGACTCCTCTACTCTTGTTCTAACCCTCGAATAACCCTCAACCTTCCTCCTTGGTCCGGCCTAATTCTTTGGCCTAAACCTTCTCTTTTGTCTCTCGGTTTCTCTTTCCTCCTCTCTATTCTCTCTCTTAATTCTCTGCTACCACTCTCGTCTATAAGGTGGCGTGAATAGGGTTTTATAAACCCTAAGGCAGACAACACTATATTTATATATAGGTTTATACCAACCCTAATCCCAACCTGATACGAAGTCGGCTAATCATAAAAGAAAAGAAAAGAAAATTAAAATATAATTAC